TGAAACAGCCCAGGAAACAGGTTTCCAAGGTGGGTCATCATTGAATTCTCCGTTGGGTAAGGCTACCTCAAAGGCCCTTCCATTGCAGAGAAAATTAAGCGAGGCATCAAGCTTGACGAACATGTCAAGAAACTTCAGGTTGTCTAGTTGTTGTATTTTTGTGCATATCTTCAAATTCTCGCAGTTGTCTGTACCACAGGCCTCTGTTCTAGGCTTGGAACTAAATGAGGCTTTTTTCTTAGGTCCGATGTCTTGTGGGAAAACGCAGAAGCTGTCTTTGCGGCTTGTGAGGTTACTCATGCTAGGTGGGCAAAGCTACTTGCAGTTCGTGCTCTTCTTCATCCCAAATTGAAATTACAGGAGTTCATGAGCATTTATGATCTCACCCAAGATTTTGTAGCAGCTACAGAGAAGGTATTGTTCTGAACATTTCTCCATACAAGAGAGAAGAAATTGCATTGCCTATTCTTGTGTGACATTTGTACGGAATTTAACAGATTGGTGGACGGTTGGGATCTAGTCTTCGTGCGACGGTTCAATCACAAGCCAAAGCCTTTGTGGATTCCCAGCATGAAGCTCGGGTTAGTCTCTGTGTATATACTTTTATCGGTGCAAGCACATCTACACTTTTGTTCAGTTCTATGGCTTACATAAAAGGAAAAATGGTGAAAAAAAATGGCAGAGAAAGTTATACTTTGTCTAGCAGAAAGGTTTAAACTTACTTTCGGTAACTAATTAGCGTTGAACTATATTGACTTCATCGTTTCATCCATCTTTTTCTTTTCTTCCCATAGATGCATATTTTGTAATTCTTTTACTATCTAATTTCTTCCATTATCAAGAATTCTGGCCGTCAATCTAATATATATTTTTCTTTACTGCAGATGGCAAAACTGAAAGCTGTGCTTGATCAAGAAACATGGGATGAGATGGATGTTCCCGAGGAATTCCAAGCCATAATCAGTTCTCTTTTTGCACCTCAGGAGTTGATTTCTGGGAAAGTTGATGATGCTAATAGTAAAACGTACCACAGAAATCTGCTCCCTCTCAATGGGTCTCTCACTTCAGGAAGTGGGGATCAAAATACTGAACTGCGAAATGAAAAATCTGAATCTAGTGACGGTCCTGCAGTTGGTGATGCACAAGTGATATCTATAGTCTCGCCTGAGTCTCTTGAAAGAAGCAAGGCTGGTGTATCTTCAGTTCCGAATAATCAAAGTACTCAGAAGGAGCGAGGAAAATCTAACCTTTTCTATCAAGGAATTGGTTACCACATGGTAAACTGGTTAGTTCTCTTGTTATGCATTTTAATGTTATTTTTATGTCTTTTTTTTTAGTAATTTGATTGGCTGTTCATTGATGGATATTTCTCTCCGTTACCCATTCACCATCTAAGACTTTTGTTGTCTTGCATGCGTGAGATGGGCTGTCTACTCTCTCTAACTACTTGTACCGTTTGCTTAACGTTTAGTTGCTGTCTAGGCTGGAAATTTTTAATTAGCTGATGCAATCCCTTTTATGTTTGCAGTGGGTTAATATTGCTCAAGATGTTGTCAGAATACATTGATATGAACAATTCGTTGCCAGCTTTGTCCTCGGAAATTGCTCTTCGTGTTGTTGAAGTGTTGAGATTTTTCAACACTAGGACATGCCAACTTGTTCTGGGTGCTGGTGCTATGCAGGTAGAAATATGCTTTATATAGATAAAATAGTACATTTCATTGCTGATTACCTGTATTGAATTTTCTAACCAATGATCAGTGATCCATATCGTACAGATGTATCACCTCACCTACTTGTCTTTTGCAATTGAATTTTTTGACATAAAAGAAATTTGGTTTCTATATACGCAAAACAGATGTACTGTGCATTAATATTGACCTTTTTGGTGGCGATATTCATGCTATAGGTATCTGGTTTGAAGTCCATTAAGGCGAAACACTTGGCACTTGCAAGTCAAGTAATCGACTTCACCTACACTATTATTCCTGGTAAGTATTTTTTTTTTTCCATTTCTTTATTGTTGCCGTGATTAGGTGTTCAGGTGGGTTAATGTCTTTATCATTTCTTCTCTTCTGTATAAGTGTTTTATCCAAGCATTTATTCGCTCAAATTTATCAAAAACATGAGCTTTCTTCTGATGGTTGTTTTGGTTGTTGTGTTTCTTGTACATGTCTGGATCTGGTATAGGATGATTAGCTTAGTCTGTCTATTTTCAGCTTCCCAATTGTTCTGTTTGAATCATCCCTACCTCGTTTTCCATGTAAGTGGGTTCCTTGATAACGGTTTTTTGTTTTTGTTTTTGTGGCCGAAGAAACCAGAAGAATTCTGTTTTCAAAAATACCTGAGCAGAGAAAGCTACTGTTGTCAGTAGAGATTGATAAAGTTGCTCAGGTATGTTTGTCATTTTGCCTTCTGGATTTTATCTCATTTATGCTTATAGGTCGTAAGCTTTTGGAGGTTGCACACCTGCTGAGGAAGTAGTTGAAAAAAATTCACACCAGTTAGTTATCTCTAGGTTTCTAGAATATACGTTGTTAGGATGACAGTTTTAATGTCCAATTCCATTAACTTCAGCTTCTCACCAATTCTCAGGATTATAGGGTTCATCGAGATGAAATATACACAAAACTTGTTCAGATAATGAGAGAAAGACTACTGGCGCATCTTCATGGGTTGCCTAAAGTTATTGAGGGTTGGAATAGACCTGCAGACACCAATAAACAAACTAAAGAGTTTGCGTGGCCACTCACGAGGGTGATTTATTCTTGTTCACTAATCTTATAAACATATATAGTGGATGCTTTAATAATGTGCATTTAATTTTACAGGAAGTTGGCTACCTTCATCGTGTCTTGTCCGAGACATTGCATGAAGCGGATGTTCAAGCAATCTTCAGGTGAGCATATGTACAGCTTTCGTAGGAAAAACATTTAGGCAGGAAATGGCTTTTAAGGTTCCAAAGCCAACTGATATATTGCCTTACTCAAACCTGTAGGCAGGTGATTTTAATTATCCACACACAAACCTCTCAAACGCTTACGAACTTGGAGATAAGCTCTCCAGAAGCAAAGAAAAGGTAACATCTCTATTATATCGTTTAAAAAGAGAGAAATCTGACGTAACTTTTGTAATAAACATTCGTTTCGGTTTAATCAGGTTAAAGCTTCATATTGAGCTTATCCTCAAATGCATCCGATCGTTACCATCCGACAGTACCAATCAATCCGAAATCTCAAACTGGGGGCCGCTAGATGAATTCTATGCACAACACTTTAAAGAAGAAGGAGGTGAAGCTGAGTGATCACGTCGTCATTGTACAGCAATTTGTTTCTTCTCACTTCCTTTATAAAAGTCAAAAACTGAAGAGTTTGGGTATGAAGATGGATTACTCGTCCTGTAGATTTAGCTTACAGGTAACAAACTCCTTCCCTCTGCCTCCATTACCAGCGAACCCAAGGCACTAACCAACCTGATACAAAATATGAGGTCGCGGAAAGCCTACCAATTTAGTATCCCGAAAGGGGAAACCCACGTTTTATTCGGCTACTGCATAAAACTTTAACAGAATACTGATGGCTGGAATTTGAAAATGCAGGGGTATTACAGTTGTTGGCTCGGATGAATATTGTTATGTCAATCTATGGTTGTACCAAAAGTATCTCTATAAAGTACATTCTCTCTTCTTGTTTGGATTGTCTCATTTTTACCGCCATATGATGCTTTTTTATCATCCTTTTTTTCTTTTTGCGTGAGTTGTAAGAGGTACGACTGATTGGACTGAAGTTTTTGAAAGAGGTAAGCAGTAGATTTTAGACGTATATATTTTTTTGTATCAGAGGGAAGAAATCTTTATCATGCTCTACTTCTTAGCATTATTATTATGTCTAGTGTACTTAATGATCCCTAATCTTTGGAGTTGTTTTTTTTGAAAATTGCTTTGGAGTAGTTTTCAGTCGAAAATATTTGTTTTCTCAAGCAACTAGCTTAATCTATACCTCTATTAAAATTGGGTAATTAGCATGAATAAGCAAAAAAAAAAGAAAAACGTAATCTAAAATCCTAACCAAATAACCTAAATCTATTGGCTATAAGTTAGCCATGGGCTAATTTTTGTTACTTTTTAGTTATCATTTTCTTTGACGAAATTTTGAATCTACATATGTAAAACTGTTAAAGGCCTCTGGTTCCGTTCACTTTATTTCAGTAAAAGCGTTATTTTCAGTATATCATCATCTACAGTAACAATCATTGCTAAAAAGGGACGAATGTCTCGAACACTCCAATCTGACCCTACTCCTGTCTACCAGACTCCTTTTTACTCTGAAAACACTCCTCTCTTTAATAAGATAGTCAAAACCGATTTTGCCCTTAATGAAACAATTTTTATTTGTTTTTAAAAAGAAAAACAATCTGAAACAAAATCTATTCGCTGTCGTTCTTTTGTCGATGTCGGATAAAAAGTCTGTGTAAACGGAGAAGCTTTGATGATTTCTTTATCGAAGATTTCCCTATTTCTCATCTCTTTTCTTTTTATATCGTGTGGAAGAAGAAGAAGTTCGAGGAAGAGCTCGAGATCGATGACTGAGAAACAGAGCTTCGGAAGATCAATTCAGATTCAAGGATCTTATGGTATTCTTATGGCCATGAAAAGAGAGACTCTCACGATTCTAAACAAGGTATGGAAAAACGAGTCACCAAAATTTAGTTCCTTTATTGGGTTATTGTTGTCAGAGAGGTGAGCTACTTCTGGATTTAGCTAATCCCAGAGGAAGCATGAACATCGTTATCTAGAGTTGGATATTGGAACGGTCGTTTAATCATAAATATTGAAGAAAGAGACATTGATGTGTGTGTGGATCTACGATCCAATCAATAATTTCTGGATATTGAAGCTAATTCCAACAACAGAGCTTTTGACGACGAAGCCTGAACATCGTTATCTCATTTTCAATGGATGAAGACTCATATTTAGCAACAAAATTTAATAAACGATTACAAAAGTTTAAGGCAAGTAAAGAACAAAGGGAAAGAAATTGAGATGGTCTCTCTTTAATAATGAAATCGATAATGCATGTATAGGTTAAAGACAAGCAACAGAGAGGATCAACAAAGTTTGACATTAAGCATCAACTGTTAAAGACAAGTAACAGAGACAGAGAGGATCAACAAAGTCTGCCAAAGCGCGCCAAGACAAAGGGCACTCGTATCAATCTCACACCTTCAGGTTTGTTTTTTGTAAACCGAAGCGTCGACAAGGTGGGGCTTCATCTTGATCTCTAGTCACATTTGACTAGACTTTGTTTTGTACAACTACGTAAAATTGGTATTACTATGATCGATCTTTTTGAAACTATGTTTGTGTGTTTTAAAGTATTTGTATTACTATGATTGAATAAACAAAAAAAAGACATGTATAACTTTTATGATAAACAATTAAACTTGAATTATAAACATTTAGTTTGAAAACAAACATGAATATTTACCGTATTATACTTTTCACCTA